GCCCCATTCCCTGATTTTTCCACCCAAACGCAGCCACCCCCAACCACATCACCCCCTCCGAGCGCGACCCCAGCCCCAAATTCCCACCCTGAGCAGCCTGAGGGTGTTCCCACGAATCCCGGGGACCCCTCCTCACCTGCCGGCACAGCGGCTCCCAGTAGAAGACGAGGGAAGCGAAGGGATTGGAGCTCTGGGAGGAAGAGGAGGGAGCTGTGAGCTCCGGGATCCACCAGGATCCAACCCCCGGGACCCCCGGGATCGCCCCCCGGGACCCCCCCGGCCTCCCCCAGCCCTCACCAGCTCCTTCCCCTTCCTGCTCTCGTGGTTGGTGAAGAAGCGGAACCCGTCCTGCCCGAAGCCCTTGAGCAGCACCATCCTGGCCGAGGGCTTCCCGTCCCTGCGTGGGGACAGCGGGGTGAGGACAGCACCCAGGGCACGCGTGTCACTCTGTTGTCACCCTGTTGTCACCCCGTGTCACCTGGTGCAGGTGGCCAAGCACATGGCATTGACCTCGCCGATGTCCGGGCAGTCCAGAGCCTCCTGGAACCAGGCTCGGAACTGCTCGATGGGGTCCAGGGACACCAAGTGCTGCTCCTCGAACGCCTGGGGACACGGGGGACACTGTCAGGGAGGGGACTCGGGGGTTTGGGGACACCTGGGGGGGTCACTCCGGGCCTTGGGGTCATTCTGGGTCTTGGGGACAGCCTGGGGGGGTCATTCTGGGTCTTGGGGACAGCCTGGGAGGGTCACCCCGGGCTTTGGGGACAACTTGGGGTGGTCACCGCAGGTCTTGGGGACACTCTGGGGGGGTAACCCCGGGTCTTGGGGTCACCCCGGGCGTTGGGACAACGTGGAGGGGTCACCATGGGTCTTGGGGACAACCTGGGGGGGTCATCCCGGGCTTTGGGGACAACTTGGGGGGTCACCCCGGGTCTTGGGGACAACCTGGGGGGTCACCCCGGGTCTTGGGGTCACTCCGGGCCTTGGGGACAGTCTGGGGGGTCACCCCGGGCTTTGGGGACAACCTGGGGGGGGGTCACTGCGGGTCTTGGGGTCACCCCGGGCCTTGGGGACAACCTGGGGGGTCACCCCGGGCCTTGGGGTCACCTCGGGCCTTGGGGACAGCTCAGGACCGGGATCACCCCAATTTCAGTGCCACAACCACCACCAAGGGAGGCCATGCCGGGTCCAAGGTCACTCCCAGCACATGGAGGGAGCTCCTGCAGCTCTTGGAGCGGGAGGGTCACCCCAATTCCAAGGAGAATCGAGGGGGGTTCACCCCGGGCCTTGGGGACAGCTCAGGGTGGGGACACCCCGGTTCCAGGGTCACTCAGGGCCTTGGGGACATTCTGAGGGGTCACCCCGAGCCTTGGGGACATCCAGAGGGGGTCACTCCGGGCCTTGGGGAGATCCTGAGGGGGTCACTCCGGGCCTTGGGGACATCCTGAGGGG